GGAACAATAGCACAGTGGTAGGGTGCTTGCCTTGCACATCCCATCTTTGGCACTAAATACGGTCCCACAAGCCTACCAGGAGTAATCTCTGAGCACAAGCAAGTGTCTCCCCTTGCCCCCCCCCCAAAAAAAATCCCAAAAATGTGTATTTAGTTATTTAGTGGGGAATATGGAAAGTCTATATTCATGCATGCTCAGGGAAGTAAACATGCTTAGAAAAGATCTAGGCTTGAACTGTTGACTGAGCTCCAGGATACAAACATGAAGAAACAGTCAAAGCAGTCATATATAAATAACTTCAGTACCAGACTAGGTATTGAAGGTGCATCTTGATGACATTTTGCACAGTGGCATCATTTGCAAAGTTTCCGATATGTTTTAATTCTTGGCCTTTAAGAGAATACCTGTCTGAACCTTAGCTGAACACAAGTAAAGGAAGAGACTTCCTGTAGCCAATTTGACATGGAATAGTCATGAATTGCACAAGGTTATAAAACAGATTACAGGTGACTCAAGCTTTTAACAGCCAAGGACAGCCAATTTTGCAGAAGACATGATATGCTTTCCAAAGTTACCACATTATAATATTCAGGTATGTATTTTTCATTAACAATGCAACAAAATCACAAGCAGGGAAATATATGCCCTGTTCTTAAGGGGAGAAAGTTAAAACCATTACTGAGAAAACCAGACACTGGACGTACAGAAGTAAGTAGAAGTAAGTCAACTGTCTCAAACATGTTCAAAGAGCATAAAGAGAATCATGGACAAAGAATATAAAGAAATTAGGAAAATTATATCTGTACAAAATGAGATTATCAGTGGCCAGAGAGGTACTGAATGGGCTAATCACATGCTTTGCCTGTAAGAGCGTGACTCCTGTATTTAGGAAGCTCTCAAAATTAATAATTAAATGCTGAAAGATAGGTAGTACCTAAGAATGACTCCTGAACAGAACTGGAAGTAGCTCTTGAACATTACTGTCCGAAGCCCAAAAAGTAAAATGAGTCTAGCAAAAAAGAGAAAGCAAAGAACCAAACAACTTCTAATGCATATATAATAATTAAAATGGAAAATTTACTAGAGGAGTCCAGCAGGAGATTTTAATAGGCAGAAGCATCGGTGAACTTGAAAATGGTATAATTGAGTGGTCAGTCTGAATGTCAGAGAGGGGGCAGAACAATAGTACATGGGATATGATGCTTTCCTTGCATGTTGCTGACTCAGAATTACCCAACAGCCCAAATGGTCCCAGGTCCATCAGGAATGATCCCTGAATGCAGAACTAGGACACAGCCAGGTATATGGCCCCAAACAAAAACAAAAACAAAAAAAAAACCCCAAATTTCTTTTAATATGAGAAAGAAAAATACAGAAAAGTGAATAGAGCCATGGGATTAGTAGGATACCCACCAAGTGCTCCTACTTGCATTATGGGTGTCATAGAAGATGAGAGGTCACGGTCACGGTCCTCCCGTTGTTCATCGATTTGCTCGAGCTCGAGTAACGTCTCCATCATGAGACTTGTTGTTACTGTATTTGGCATATCGAATACATCACGGGTAGCTTGCCAGGCACTGCCGTGCGGGCGAGATACTCTCGGTAGCTGACCGGGCTCTCCGAGAGGGGCGGAGGAATCGAACTCGGGTCGGCCATGTTGGCTGCTTGTAAGGCAAACGCCCTACCACTGGGAGGAGGCAGAATATTTGAGAAAATAATTTTTTAAATGACATTCTACAAGTATAAAAAGCACAACTCGTAATTGGATAAAATCATAGTCCTCCACACGGAGACACATGAACAGGCTAGAAGAATCTTGAACAGTGAGAAAACAGTATCAGGCAAAGGATCCTCGGTATCACCAACAACTGGTTTTTCATCAGAAACATGGAGGCCAGAAAGTTACAAACTAACACTTAAGATGTTGGAGGGACTAGTGGGAGTGCATAGGGCATAAGGCACACGATTTGTATACCACCAAGCCTGGGTTAGCCCCCAGCGCCATAGAGTGCACTCCCTGCTCCCTAACCCCCCAACCAGCTCTGAGTGCAGCCCTGGAGGCTTCGAGCTCTGCCAGGATGTCCTGGATAATTTCTGGCCCCACGGGCCCAAGCAGCACCACATCTTCAGACACTTCCTTTGATCCACCAGCCTGGTTGGCCAGGTTCACTGGTGGGGCCCTCAGCTGTTCCTGAGCAGCATTCAGGAGGCCTCCAAAATAAGGTATTGTATGATAAACTAGTATGTGGTGACAAGAATTATATGTGCAGCAAAATTATCCATTGGAAAGTTGAAAAATTAAGATAGAATAGCAAATGTAGAAGAAGCTTACTAACCATGATCTCTTGAAGTGTTCTTGAGGGCTGGAGAGATAGTACAGGGGTTAAGGTGGCCAGTTCATGTGGTCAGTTGTGGTTCAATCCCCACATTGCATATCATGCCCTGAACACTGCCAGGAGTGATCCCTGAGCATAGAGCCAAGAGTAAGACCTTAACACCGCTAAGTATGGCCTCCAAAACAAAAACCCTGTTGTAGAATGGTGGTTTTGGCTTTTTATACTTGTGGACTGCTCCAGTCCCCAAGCTGGTAGCCGAAAACTTGCTATAGAGGGCCCTTCAGGTTGAAGTGAAGAGAAACTAGATGCATCTGAAACTGAAAGAAGAAACAAAAATCTCCAGAAGTAACTACCAAGAGCAAATATTAATGTATTTTGGATAAGAGCACCGTAGCACTGTCCTCTCGTTGTTCATTGATTTGCTCGAGCGGACCCAGTAATGTCTCCATTGTGAGACTTCTTGTTACTGTGTTTGGCATATCGAATACGTCACAGAGAGCTTGCCAGGTTTTGCCGTGCGGGCAAAATACTCTGGTAGCTTGCCAGGCTCTCCGAGAGGGGCAGAGGAATCGAACCCGGATTGATCCAGCTGGCCATGGTGCAAGGCAAATGCCCTACTGCTGTGCTATCGCTCCAGCATATTTGGGTAATAACTCCATTTTTTTACTTCCTACATGACTTAAAAAGGAAATGTATAAGATAATTATAAATTTATGTTTATTGGGTACACTGTATAAAAATGCAATTTGTGACAACATAAGGGAGAAGAATGGAGCTGTGTAGGAACAAATGTTTTTTGTATTGCTGCTAAACTGAGAGCAGTTAAAATTATATTGTATATTTAAGATATTGTTATCTCCATGCTAAATATAATTTTTTTTTTATTCAAGGTTATTGTAAAGGAATTAAAACACTACAGAAAGCCAACTAAATACAAAGGAAGACAGAAATGGAGTAAATGGGGGATGAAGAGACAGTATAGGTCTGGGAGATGGCCCAAAGAGTTGGAATGCGTGCCTGGCTGGGACAGTGCTCTGGGTTCAATCCCTGGCACTGAATGTCCCAGGCGTTATATTTATGGCATAAATATAGGACTTGAAGAGCACTGTAAATCAGTTAGACCTAACAGAACATTAATAGAACGATACACCCAAAAATGAATAAACATTCTTAAGTGCAAATAGAGCATTCTCCAGCAGAGATCTATGTTTTAGGTCACAAAAACAAGGGTCAAATTCCAGAGCATTTTACCTGGTCACAATAGGAGATAACTAGAAATTAATAATAGACAAAATTGAAAAATTAAAACATCTGGAAATGTAAAACCAATGTATTGGGGAGAAATCAAGAGAATCAGAAACTGCTTAGAGGGTGAGAATCAGAAACTGCTTAGAGGGCTGGAGCGTTAGCACAGAGGATAGAGCGTTTTCCTTGCAAGCGGCCGACCCGGGTATGATTCCCAGCATCCCATATGGTCCCCCAGGCACCACCAGGAGTAATTCCTGAGTGAAGAGCCAGGAGTAACCGCTGTGCATCACCGGGTGTGACTCAAAGAGCAAGAAAAAAAAAAACTGCTTAGAGATGAGGAAATTTGAATAGCACAACATACAAAAAACAGATGCAATGAAGAGAGTTTTCAGGAGGAAATTTGGTGAAAGGGAAAGCATTTCAAATCAACAGCATAACTTTATACTTTTAAGGGGGGAAAGTAGCTATATGAGTTCAAAGTCAGAAAAGAAATAACAGATTAGAGCAGAGATATTATTTAACAGTAGAGAAAATAAGAACAAAATCAATTAAACCAAAAGTGGTTGTTGGGGATTTTAATTTTCATGTCCTTGGCAATTGCACAATCTCTTTATTTGGGGAAATTCTGGTCTTAAGCTTTGTAAAAATATTTCTTAAGTTTCTCTCTGTTCTATCTGTAGAAAGTTTGTTAGATGATGTGCCTGATTTGTTACTGCTTGTCCTTTATTTTAAAGCAAAGTAGCATTTTACTAATTTTTTTGTAGTTATGTTTTTAATTTCTACAAGTCCTGAGAAATACAGCTTTTTCTTGTTTATTGGCATAATTATTTCCACACATCTCTTGTTAAATATTGTTTAGCACTTCTCAGGTGTGTGTGTGTGTGTGTGTGTGTGTGTGTGTGTGTGTGTGTGTGTTTCTGAATTCTGTTTCCTCTAGGGTTATCTGTTTATTTTGGTCTTGATCATTCATGTTGCATTACTACTTTTCTTTCAAGTATCTGATGATCCTTGTTTGGTTCATCCCATCTAAGATTAAGGCAATGAGAAGTTCTTTGCAACTATGTTCGTGGTGGTAGATTGTTAGCTAGTAGGCTTCACTTTGAGTATGGAACCAATGATATACTTGTGGAGACCTGGGGGCTAAACTTAATATTGTTTCAGAGCAGTTGCAACAAGACAAGTAGCAGCTTCAGAACAAATGGCAAAATTTTCATGAATCTTGAGTCCCTGCCCTAAACTGACCAACTTAATCGGAGAAGAATTTGTAACATGTAAATATTTTAGGTTTGTAGCCATGGGATACAAACTTAAAAGTAGTTCTGTTAGCATTATTTTAGTTTAAATGAATCACCCAAGAACACTAAATATTTGTTTCAAGTGCCATGGTTATTTTAGCTTAAAAGCTAAGCCATACTCTCAAAAGTTTTCTTCACAACAGTAGGACTCTGGCAGAGAATTAAGTTGTGTTGAATTCATTGATTTCAAAATTATGGTTGATCCCTTTTTCTGATCTGTAATGAGAAACAGATTAATGACTTACTTTATGATTAATCATGTTAGTCCTAAATAACTCCCAAAATATGTTCCATTGTCCTTTAAGCATTCATCTACAATAAGAAAAATATTTTGGGATTTATGATATGGAAATAAAGTTGGATTAAGAGACATATTTAGACCTGGGGCTGGAGTGGTACAGCGGGTAGGACATTTGCCTTGCACACACCCAGGTTTGATCCCTGGCATCCCATATGCTTCCCTGAGCACCAAATGGAATAATTCCTGAGTTCAGAGATAGGAGTAACCCCTGAACATCATTAGGTGTGACCCAAAAAGCCCCCCCAATTTTTTTTAATTAAAAAATAAAAACACAGCGGTAGGGCGTTTGCCTTGCACGCAGCCAACATGGCTGACCCGAGTTCGATTCCTCCGCCCCTCACGGCAGAGCCTGGCAAGCTACCCGTGATGTATTTGATATGCCAAACACAGTAACAACAAAGTCTCCAATGGAGACGTTACTGGTCCTGCTCGAGCAAATTGATGAACAACGGGGTGACAGTGACAGAAAAATAAAAGATACATACAGATCTATGTCAAAATGTTAATGGGATGGTAAATCAGTCTAGAATTAGGATGTTTTGTTTTGACATCCTAATTCTAGACCCAAAACTCTTTACATACTACATTACAAATAGGGTACTTTGTACAAACTGTAGTTATCACCCCTAAATCTGTATCCATTAGAGTTACTTCATATTCTATAAACTCTTGTTAACAATCACTAACAGTTACGCTTGTCTAAAGTTAAGAATTCAGTTAAGGCTTGGTTGAATCCAGCAATCATTGTATCTGCATTTTATGAACTAAAGACCAGGTGGTTTTAATGAGGTAAAGGTAACAAGTTTAATTTGTGCAGTGCTGTGCACTGTATTAGATGTGTTACCGTCGAGTCTCAGAAAGTCTATCCCACAGAGATTCATTGATTTGCAAAAGGTAATGGACTAGAGAGAAAGCTCAGTGGGCTGAGCTTATGCTCTGTGTGGAGGAATGGGTTCCATCCTGGCATGGTGTTGCCCCCTTCCCAGCACTGCCAGGCATGACCCCCTTCCAAAGATTCCCAGCACAGTACCTGAACATCACAGTACCTGAATATCAATATCAAACTGAAAATACTCACATTCATTCTAGGTCTTAAAAATCCCTGATTGTTCCACAGCACTTCAATAGCATTTAAAGAGGTAAATATTTATTGATATTAAGAATAGATCACATTTTATCCAGAGAATATGGCTCAACTTGCCATCTCTGGAGGATTTTTTAAATCTAATTTTTAATACTCTCTGAAGTTAGTAACATTGAACTGTACAATACTCATGAAGTAAAATAGCAACCCAAATCTTCTTAAAGATTGTACTATGTCCAAAATTCTATTATTTAAAAGTCTGAGGAATCGTCCTTGCTCCTAGTGATCCTTGTCGAAGGAATTTACACTGAAGCTGAATTATACACACATTTTACCAGGTGAATTCAACAATGAAGGTTCTGAGAACACACATTTCTAGAGGGATTCTTTCTGCCATTCAACTTAGTGACAGACAGGGATGTTCTTGGACCTGAAAACTATAATACAGAGCTGGGAAGGGTGGGTACTATGGGAAGAGTGAAAGGTGTGTGACAGAATAATTTTTTTTTACTCCCTTACCATATGGCAAATTGGAAAATTTTTTTAATGTGAATGTGATGGTGACTTCGTTGAAAGTCATAGAAAAATTAAGTGATCAATGGTATATAAAGCACTACTATACTAAATTATATGGATATCTTGATTCTATAAGGTTAATCTTATTTTTAATCCCCTTTCCAAGAGAAAACAATGAAAAATTTAAGGGTTATATGCTATGTTAAAAGCATATTTTTGAAGAATGACTTCCAGTTTTATAGCCTCGACAATTTCATCTGTGGTTTGAATTTCTCCGTAGCAGTTTTTTCTGTGTCTTCTACTGTGAGCTGCACACAGTGCTTACTAAACCTTTTTCTAAATTACTGAATGAACTCTCATGTGCTATGAAGGAATTTTAACAGATTTTTTCTAAATTACTGAATGAACTCTCATGTGCTATGAAGGAATTTTAACAGAGCAAGGATTTTTACTTTGGGGAGGAGGGTGTTGTTTGGGGGCCATATCCTGTGGTTCTCAGTGCCAGGGATCAAACCCAGGCTTCCCTGCAAAGTTTGTATTACAGCTTCTCCCCTAATGGACTGAGGAAGCAATAACTATGATTAATGTTTAATTTTTAATTTGTTCTTCAAAATTCCCAAATAAAAAAATTAATTAAACATTAAGGACATCATTTAGACATACATTCTGCCCTCAGAAACTAATTGCAAAGATTGTGACCAAAAGGTGAATGTAAAGATTTAACTTAGGAAAGCAACTTCATATAATTTCTGACTTTGCAGAGAGTATTTCTCCAAAAATTTCTTCAAGATGTCAGTTTCTTGATTTGAACAAATATTTGATTCAATTCCTTCTTTGTACTCTATCATTGCTCATGCTTACAATATTTCTTTGTTAGATTTCTTACAGATCAGCCTTCTGCCTGATCATTGTTTATAAAATAATTGCCACCTGAGTATCTTTCAAATCTATCAAATTCTCTTTACTGCCACCACCCATCATTACTGAAATCCCTAAATTGTTGGTTCTCAAACTGGATTGAGCCCTGGAATTATCCAGTGAATTTCAAAATAGATGCTTGGCATCTCTCACCTGATTTTCCCTATGACTGTGAGATTCTAATTCAATAAGGAATAGCTGGGCCTTCTAAAGTTCTTCAAATGATGTAGCTAAGGTTCTACTGCAGTTGATTCCTGATTCACTGTATTTAATATTTACACCATTCTACTTCTACCCTGCACTTCTTTTTGTACCTACAGATAATATTTTAATGCAACTTAAAAATGTCTTATTCTATAATACTAAAAGTTTGCCATTAGTCTAGAGGCATAAAAATCAAAAAAAGAAAAAAAATGAACTATAAAGCCCTTGTTCTGGTTTGGTATCTCTCCAGAAGCATCCAGTTCAACAATCCTCGTTGATTTCTGAGCACTGGCACACTTACGGAATTCCCAATGTGTTATGATTCTACTATTGGACATTTGCACATGCTATAGTTGCTGTGAAGCTCTTCTCCCACTCCCTACCTATCTCATTTTAGCATATATAGCAGATGAAATGCCATGGTTATTGTAATATTAGCTTTCCTCTTAAGCTCCTTGAATGTAGAAAACTTGTGTCTATTTTTGTTTCATTTGGTATTGCCAAAATCTAGTACACTGACCTGCAGATAGTATCTTAAATTATTTACTAAGGGATTAGATTAAATTTTAAAATAGTCAACTTAAAATCTCACCAAATACAATTGATGTCGTCACAAAATTTCAGGAATAATTCCTGTCCTCCTTGCTAATCCAAGCAGTTATCAACTCTAGTCTGTACTAAGTAGCTTCCTCATGGATTAGCATGCCCTCTCTCTCCAAAGATTGTCTAAGATACCGAGCAATCTTTCTAGAGTTCAAATGCTCAGGAGCTTTCAAAATCTCCCCATTGCTCTTAGAATACAGTCCAGCTCCCTTGACCCTCAACTACCCATCAAACAACACTGGTCTCATTTCTGTTCTTCAGACATGCCAAACACCTTTCAGCTTTTAGTTGCTATTCATTTTGCCTGAAATGTTCTTTACATGACTCATTCTTCTTTCCCAAGATTCTTCTAAAAAAGTTTTACAAATTTCTCTGAACTATGGTATTAAAGGTAAACCTCCCTTAGCTGAAGTAATCATCCTGCTTATTTCCCTTATTATCACACTACTTCAGTCTTATTTTTAAAACAGTGTTTTTGGTTATGCTATCTATACCCCACCAGAATATCAGTTCCAGTCTTTCCTGGCCACTGCACCCCCAGGAGACCGGGCTGTTAAGTTCATAAAGGGTCTTGGTCAATAACTGATTGCCAATTTACAGGATGCATCCCCACCCTGGTAATTTATACTTGCACTCCCCCTCCTTCCCCTCACCCCTCATGTTGATGCCTTGTGTAATTCCCCCTCAGGTTGATTTGGTGCTGGCTGGGATGACTCATAGGATACATTAGAAGAGATTGTGACTTTGTGATTTTGGAGCTGGGTTAGAAAAGTCATTGTCCTTTCCAGTTCATCTGGAAGTTCTCACCCTTGAAGCACTTACTGCCATGCCACTAGAACACTTGGCAGCTCTGTTGCAAATCTCACTTGAAAGGCACTGAGAACACAGCTCCCAGCTTTTTTTTTTTAATTTTTATTAGTGAAACACAATAAGGTACAGTTGTAGACTTAAAAATTTTTGTGCTTGGGTTTCAGTTATACAATGATCGAGTACCCATCCCTCCACCAGTGCCCATTCTCCACCATCACTGATCCCAGTATCCTTCCCACCCCCCATCCCTCCCATCCCACCCTGCCTCTGTGGCAGGGCATTCCCTTTTGTTCTCCCTCTCCTTTTGGGTGCTGTAGTTTGCAAAAGAGGCATTGAGTGGCAACCATGTTCGGTCTATAGTCTACTTTCAGCATGCATCTCCCATCCTGGGTGGATCCTCCCAACACCCTTTACTTGGTGCTACCTTCTCTATCTGAGCTGCCTTTCCCCCTAGCATGTGCAGCTGGCCTCCAAGCCATGGAGTGAACCTCCTGGAACTTATCTCAACTATTCTTGGGTGTTAGTCTCCTATTTTGTTTCTTTATATTCTCCAGATGAATGCAGTCTTCTGTGTCTGTCCCTCTCTTTTTGACTCGTTTCACTTAGCATGATACTTTCCTTATAGAACCACCTGTAAATTTCATCATTTCATCTTCTCTAACAGCTACATAGTACCCCATTGTGTAGATGTACCAAAGTTTCTTTAACCAGTCATCTGTTCTCAGACACTCTGGTTTTTTCCAGATTCTGGTTATTGTAAGCTGTGCTGCAATGAACAAA